CGAGATAGATTTCATTTTCTCAACGTGTCGCACTTGTGGCCTTGGGCGGCGCAACAATGATCGGATTTTTTGCAGGGTACAAATCCTGCCCAAGGCCTTGCACTGGTAAGTCAGCTGTTGACTTTCCCATGATTGTTTTCTTCTTTACAGATCGTGTCTCAACGGTCATGAACTCCGAAGGTTTAGCACAAAGGTCCCACTGGGCGTGCCAAAATGTTGACTCTAAAATTTACAAAACCTACGTGGCGCGCAGGCCGAGTAACTAATAAGCTAACTACGTCCTTCGGTTGAATGCGGAGCGTGCCAACTCGTCGGCCGAGCTCAGCCGAGGAGTAAAATTTGTTGATGTCGCGCTGAGCGCGTCGTTGACTTCTCTATCTTACGATTGCGACCGATGAAGGAACACCCTTGGTCTCTGGGTTCTATAGCCTGAAGACAAGGCTACTAATTCTGCGGAGTTCACAAATCGTCGGAGCCCGATTCGGTCACTGTGATTATATTCGTAAGAGTATAAGCACGTCGAATCGAGACCAAACTATATGGGCACAAGTACTCAAATGTGATGTATGTCTTGATGGTAAATGTAGTTCGACCGTCGGAATGCCGAACCCTGAAACTTACTTGCGAGTATACAATCATAAAATCACTCGGCGTCCAGTACGCCGAGTAACACAATTCGTAACACCTAACTATGCCGAGAAGACTAGCAAGGTGACCTCTACCAACAAGGGTTCGAAAAACCCTTCTCGGCCGAGACTTAGATAGGTAATCGGTCGGCCTCGACGCAGTGCTGTTTATCCAAACTGAATGTGCTTCTCGGTCGGCTGATTTTGCGGCAGCAGTGTGTTGTTTATCCAAACTGAAGATGCTCGCCGGGTGCCTCCACAGTGCTGTTTATCCAAACTGAAGGTGTGTTGGCAGAAAAAGAAAAGGAAAAATCTCAAGGTATTTGAGAGGTTTTGCGCAGGGCGATTGTATGCTGATTTCAAGGGGTCATTTTCTGTTGCGTGATTTCTTGTATTTATAGCACCCCATTCCTTGAGACCGATTTGCATCCTGATCTGGATTGGGAGTCCTTGTTCCGTTTCAATTCAAACTCGAACACACCTGCTCCTACTGGGTTTTTGAACTTTCCCCCCTTTCGAGGCTTTATTCTTTGTCGGTCAGGAATCTAAGTCGTACCAGGACTTCCTCGACCTTTTTTGTTTATCTGGACTACTTAGGATAGGACTTGTCCGACCCTGCCAACTGGCTCGGGATTTATCATTCGGCCCATATTATTTGACACAGCCTTGGGCCGAGCACATCCTGCTGCTCGGCCCAACAATATTATTTTGGGCCCAAACACCTATAAACGAAGGGCAAGTTTGAAGTTTTGTGAATGTTTAATCATAAGGCTTTTTGCCTTAATAGGATCGTTTGGAATTACTTTTAAAATAGTTGAAAGTTTTTTTTGTGAAAATATTTTTGAAACTAAGCTTTATTAGACATGCAAGTGAATCCTGAAAAAACACTTGAAGTGCTTCTTACAAAAATCACATAACTAGTGTTTTTTCCAGACAGCACATAGCTGGTGCTTCTTGCAAAAAAACACTGTAAGTGCTTCGGGAACACAAAAATATTTTTTCTAAAAACATTTTCAGTCATTTTAAAAATATTTCCGAACAAGCCCATACATAAATAAACAACCACTTAAAACAAATGAAATTAATTTTTATTATACAATGATATTCTTTTATAGGCATTAAACCAAATTTCAAAAAAAAAAAAAAACACAAAAACAAGGCTTATTTTTAGCTACGCCCTCTGTAACTCGACTTTAATCTTACTTTGCTTCCTGTAATTCAAAAGTCAACACTTTGCTCGCTGAAACTCATATTTCGCTCCACTTTGTCTCTTGGAACTCGAAATGGAGTTTCAGGGAGTAAAGTGATGACTTTTGAGTTATAAGGGCAAAGTGAGATTAAAATAGAGTTACAGGGGACGTAGCTAAAAATAAACCAAAAAACAACTAAAAGTAAAGGTTGATGCTATATACACCAAATTGGTGCACAAAATTTGGCCCCAAATGATGTGGCACATTCTACACCACATAAATTTTAACTACAATTATTAATCAAATTTCAACTTGAGTCAAAATACAAATTTGATTGGTGACAAATCATTTATTACACATTTTTAGTGCACAAATTTGGTGTGGTAAAGGAGCCTAAATGTATATATTGTTTATTATTTCCCCAATAAATGAGTAAATAAATATAATACATCAGAATTCAGGTTCTTGGGTTTGGTTTAGGACGGAAAGGCCTCAACCAACCCAACCCAAAAACATTGGATTGAGTTCGACTGGGTTCTAGAGGTTTTGACCTAATTCTACTAGTGAATTTGGGTGGAAGTTGTGTGGATTTACGGTTGTACCAACTCAACTTGCACTCAATCGTATTGCTATGTGAAAAAGTCATGTGATAACGTGTGATTGGTTTAAGACGCAAATTCATTTGGACATGAATCCAACAAAAATAGTCACTAATGATTTGCAATTTGTTCTATTTTCTTCTTCTCATAAAATAAGTATTTTGATACAATGTATAATCATCCGGTTGTAATCTATGTACCATTAGAACTATGGAGCTTTAACAAAAAGGGCTTCCTCAAACTTTTTCTTAACCAAACACCACATAATAATTTTATTTAATAAAACGGCTTAAATTTTAATGAAATAAACTTAAACTTTAGTGGAAATGACAAAATTTTACAATAATAAGAGAAAAACAAAAACAAAAGAGAGAAGAGATATGTGTGAGGAAGGGTGGAAGAGAGAGGAAAGTGGGCGGACATGCGATTCACCCATTATCATCAAATCTCTCTTCATCCATTACCATCATCTCTCTCCTTTTTCACTCATCAATATCATCTCTTCCTTGTTTTACCTATCACCATTATCTCTCTCCCCTTTTAACTATAACCATCATCTCTGTCTCATCTTTCACTTATCACTATCATCTATCTTATCTCCCCCTCATGTCCCTCCTTCCTCCACTCCCTTTTGTTTTTTATTTTTTGTTATATCAACAATTATTAATAAAAAGCACTTACTAAAATTTTATTAATAAGCAATATTGCTCTTAAAAATAATATATTTCCATGAAAACTATTGACAATTCAAGCCGTTAGTCAGCTTTTTTAGTCTTTTTAATTTTTTAAATTTCTTTAGAAATGGTACTACTATTTCTAGAAGCGGTGACACCATTTCTAGAAACGGTGACACAATTTCTAGAAACAATGACACTATTTCTATTATTTCTAAAAACAGTGATACTATTTCTTGAAACGGTGTCAATATCTTTAGATACAATGGTCACTATTTCTAAAAACGTTCACTATTTATAAAAACAATGACCACTACTTCTAGACTCTTTTAAGTTGTAAAGGGAAACACTTAAAAAAAAGTGAAGGGTGAAGGCACCTTTTCGACTTAACCAAACACGTTCACCGCTTTGAATTAAAAAAAATTAAAAAAAATTAAATAAACGAAAATCATATACAGTTACAAAAAGAAAAAGAAAAAAAAAATCAATATATGACATTCATCCTAATCTTTAAAGATGATGTCAAAAAAAGTTATATACAATTACAAAAAGTATAAGGAAAATTATATATAATTACAAAAAAGAACAAAAACAGTGGTCCCAAGTATAAAGAAACAAAAACAGCGGTCCTAAGGTTTTGTTAGGAATATAAAAACAGTAGTCTCAATTCACAAAACATGGTTGACGTTTATGCACGCATCCTAGTTTGTTTATTTTTTTCTTTATCGTTTGTCCTTATCATTAAATAAAATTAATAGATTGTTTTTTTCTTTTGTTTGTTAAAACTTAAAGTTTTGGACCCCTTTGTCATTAGTTTTTCCTTAGAACTATGCTCGTTAATTTTCAACAATCCTCTTTTCTGGGGTTTTTTCATTTAGTTGTATTAATACATTGCCCTACTGCCAAAACAAAAGAGTGTCCAGATTCATTTCCACTTCAAATCATGCCCAACATTCAATATTCAATACTACTATGTTTGGGACACTACACAAACCAAACTTGAAGTTCATTTTCAAACCTCAGTCATTTGTGGGTGGGCCTTTGAGTTTGTTGTTTGTAATTCTCTAATATTGGGCAAGTGCAGTAAGTCCACATCAAATAAAAGCCTCTTTTTTTTTTTTTTTGGGGTAATGCTTATGATCAAAAGATTTCTAATTTGGGCCAGGGTTCTAATCCCATCTGCATAAGGACTGGACCATTATTAATTTGGGTTTTTAGGCAATGATCTCTCTCATAATATTCTACGTTAATCTAGAACGCAGTAAGTTGCATAATAAAACTATAACAATCAAGATAATCTACTATTTACACGTAAAAAACAAGGTAATTAAATTTCTAAATTATATTGTACTGATTAGGTAAATCTTAAATGCATGCATAAATTTTTTTGACAAAATATTTAAATATGTGGGTCAGAAGGATAATTTAATAATGTAATACGCTAGATCATCAATGTATGTGTGTATGTATGTATGTATGTATGTATGTATGTATGTATGTGTGTGTGTGTAAGTATGTATGTATATATGTGTGTATTTATGTATCCTAACGATGTCATCACTGTCATGTGGAGGTTTCAGGTTTTAAAATCTTGTGAATTTTAATCTAGCAATAATTGCTAAAATTGGATGTATGTGTGCTAATGACGTCATTACTATCACGTGAAGGTTTAAATTCTAAAATCTTTTAAATTTTAATCTAGGCATAATTGCTCAAATAGGATGAACAAAATCAAATTAAAAACATAAAAATCAGAACATGTACTACACCATACATAGTACATACGAATCAAGGAAGAAACAATTGTTTTTTGTTTTTGTTTTTACTTTTTTTTTTTTTTGCTTGTATTCTCTGTTTCCACTCAACCTCTTTCTCTCTCTCTCTCTCAGCAAAAAGTGTTTGCTTTAGGACTCTCTCTCTCTCTCTCTCTCTCTCTGATTTAGCATTGACATTCGGCGTCGATTTTCCACACACACAAGAAAAATGTAATTAAAGTCTCACACTTTGTTTAGTTTTGTTTCCAAATTCCGATATGACCATTGTCCTCTTTTTTATTATCCTCACAAAAACAAAACCACGACTCCCACTTCCGCAATAACCACCGTCAACCTCCTCCGCCCAAACCCACACTCAAGTTCGCAGCTTTAGTCAACACCCAAATTAAAAAATTGACCCATGATCTTCTCCCGCAGCGACGATTAGAGTTTCGACCCACCACCACGGCGGCGGCGGACATGGATCACCGCGACCCCAACCAGTCCCGCCTCATCGGAGACTACATACTTGGCCCCAGAGTCGGGTCTGGTTCCTTCGCGGTTGTTTGGCGCTCACGCCACCGACAACTCGGTATTGAAGTTGCCGTCAAAGAAATTGACAAGACGCAGCTCAGCCCAAAAGTCAGCGACAACCTACTCAAAGAAATTTCCATTCTCAGCACCATCAACCACCCCAACATCATTCGCCTTTTCGAGGCCATCCAGGTATTGTTTTTGCTTATTCCGAGGTTGTTTTGTTTCCTTATCTTTCTGAGTTATTTATGTATGTGCAATGTTGGTGGTTTGGGGGTTTTGGCAGACCAAGGACAGAATCTACCTTGTGCTGGAGTACTGTGACGGCGGCGACCTGGCGGCGTATATTCACCGACAGGGGAAGGTCTCAGAAACTGTTGCCAGGCACTTTATGAGGCAATTGGGTATTTTTTTTTTTTTTTTTTCAATAATTTTTTTTGTAATCACTTCTGCTTTTAATTCAAGTTTTTAATGAAAGTTCATATTTTGGGGGGATTTGGATAATTGGGTTTGCCCCCAACACTTTTCGGATTGAATTTTGGCTCGTTAGATGGATAGAAGTTCAATCTCTTTTAAATGGTAGGCCAATTTGGTTTGTGTTATGTGTTAGAAATAGAAACAATTTTTGGATGCTAAGGGAATTTTGATAGTTTAGCTGTTTTCTTCCTTTTTTGCTAGTGGGAATTTTGACATGTTTGATTTGGATTCTCCTGAACAGCTGCAGGATTGCAAGTGCTTCAAGAAAAGCACCTCATTCATCGGGATTTAAAGCCACAGGTATTGCGCTATTTTGTTTTGTCGCGAGTCATGATTCGTGAGATGTGTGATATGTTTATGACATTTGATACATTGTCGATTACTGTTGAAAAATTTGGTTTGTGTTTTTCTTGTCTCTTGACTTGTCGATTTCTGGCCAAAATTGTAGAACTTACTCTTGTCAACAACGGTTGAAGATACCCCACTATTGAAGATAGGGGATTTTGGTTTTGCAAGGTAAACTACTAAGATCTTTTTCGACACTTCCCTTTCCACATTGTTTGTGAATTCGAAGCTGCAACCCAAGTGAATAAGTTTACATATTTAGCTTTGTGGTGCTTTTATGATATCATGCTTTAACACATTCAACCAATACCAGTTCAGCACTATCCCAATTATTTAGCTTTCTGATAAGCAGGATAAAAGATTTCTTTTGTCGTTTACTTTAATTATTGTGATCGGATTAGCCAAAAGCTTTTACTATTGTATGACCTTCAACTTGGCCGTGTGCTAAGGAGGATTTTTTTTGTTGAACGTCAGAGTCTGTGTTCCCTCTGTTAACCAAATCTTCCATTCATAACCTGTGGTTTATGAAATTAATATCTACTGCTGAGAGATGCTATATATTGTAGTTTGTGGAAATTTGAGATGGCATGAACTGTTTCAATGGTACGTAGAGGTTTATTAAATTTTTCACCACCTCCTCTCTAAGGAAACACTCAATATTTTAAAATGATCCGAAGCAACCTCAGCTGGCAATATATGAAAGTAAAATACTGTTGACAAGTATTTCTAAATGTATTTTGCACTTGATCATTGTCCTGACATTCCTGTTCGCAGATCCCTCAAGCCCCAAGGCTTGGCTGACACACTATGTGGTTCACCACTGTACATGGCTCCAGAGATTATTCAGAACCAAAAGTATGATGCAAAGGTGATAGGATGTGAATCTGACATCACTGACAAAGTTTTTGGTACCTCTACCCTTTTTATTCATCTTTAATTTGTTATATGGTCTTTGCAGGCTGATTTGTGGAGTGTTGGAGCAATTTTGTTTCAGCTGGTGACCGGGAAGCCACCGTTTGATGGGAATAGTCAATTGCAGGTCTGATGAAATCTTAATACATATATTCTTTTTGGTCATAAGATTTTAGGATTTGAATCACATACTCTACCCAGAAAGTCTTATCTTGTGTATTTAATGGTTAATACAATATGCAGCTTTTCCAAAATATCCTGACATCGACTGAACTGAGGTTTCCACAAGGTGCTTTGGAAGAATTGCATCCAGATTGCATAGATCTCTGCAGAAGCCTGTTACGTCAAAATCCAGGTCATGATTGATATATTATTAAGTATCTGGTGTTATGCTTGCCTGTGTAATTTGATTAGATTACATTTCAGAGCTGAATAATGTGTGATTTACTACTAGTGACATGTGAATATCAAGAGTTTACTCAACAAAGCTACCATGTAAAAAATAATACTTCGATTTGCAGTTGAGCGACTATCATTTATGGAGTTCTTCAATCACAAGTTCCTCAGAGATTCTAGGTAAAGCATTTAGTTTCATAGCTTTCAAACCGCATGGATTTTAGCTATAGTACATTTGACATTTTGTACAAATTAGATACCAGTAAGTAAGATTCCTACCTATACCTACCTATATGTATGCAGTCATTACAATTGTTTCTTATTTATAATATATAGGTATCAAGTGGATGTTGATTATCCTTCAGTACTTCCATCACTTAAATCAACGGTCGAACAGCCTAGTTCTTCTGTCTCCGACAAGATACTGCAAATGCGTTCCAGGCAAACCACCAACTCATCTGGCAGAGATCTGAGTTCAGATTTTCCATCTGCACATGACCAAAAATTGTTACAAAGAAATTATGGCAGTACATCCCGCACTAGGAGTGTTCAAGGGCAGGTGCAAGATATTGCATCTCATAGGATGAGGAAATCTATTACCCGAGATCCAAACTTGCCGGATCAGCCCCGAGGTCTGTTTTTGTGTTTGGGATTCCCTAATTATGCTTGTGCTTTGTTGAATTATTTATTTTGGTTTGCCTTGCCTATCCAGTTTCTGATTCAATGGAGTCTATCGAGAAAGACTATGTTATGGTCAATTCTTTCTCATATTACCTTGAATCTTCCCTGCAACATCATTCCACAACGAGAGCTTCTATCAGTGCGTCAAAGCAGCACCATCATGATAAAACAGTTCTAATGAAAACAGAAGAGCAGGCAGCTAGTTCTGTTGGTGTGGAAAGTTCACAAACCAGCGGATCAGCTACATTACCAGCATCTTGTGAATCAACACTGTTACTAGAAGTGCAAGGACTATCTATACTGCATCCATCTACTAGGGTCCATCTGTTACATCAGTATGCTCAGGTTCTTGCAGATCTGTCGCAGGAGAAGGTGCGTCAGTTACAGTTCTACATCGTGGAATGTGCTCATCTAATTTTTATTGCACTAGACTTAGTTCAGTATCATAATATGTTTTATTTACAAGAGTGTATCAAGGAACTTAACTATATTAGCATGGTTAGACAACTACTCTCGACTTTTTTGGGGGGTCTGTATTAAGGTAATTGTTACTTTTGGTTGCAGTACAATGCAGGACTAGTTCTAGACTCATTTTCGGTTCAACTTGTTGTTTTGGCCATATGGAAGAAATCTCTTCAAATTTGCAGCACTTGGCTGGCATCATCTAAAGAGGATAAATCACCTGAAGGCAGCTCAGCGAATGAATCCTCACTTGTGCAGGGACGTGCTGCCTCATCAACAAACGCCTCAGAAAATGTAGATTTTAGCCGGCCTTCATCTGTTTCGGTGTGGGCAGAGCAAAGGTTTATTGTTGCATTTGATCGAGCAGAGAAGCTATCCTATCGTATCCAAGATATGGATGGTTAGTCTGTCAATAAACTGTCTGATCGCACTTTTTAAGTTTTCTGCTTATATTCTGCTGATTATGTGGTATACATTGCAGATGCTGCTGAATTGCCAGATGCCATGGAAATTATCTACCAAAAAGCGCTAGAAGTTGGGACAAGGGGTGCTGTAAGTAAACTTACTTGCACAAGTGCCGCCATCTTACTTTTTTTGAATTACATTTCTAATCCTGCTTTCAGATTGCACAATCTTTGACCAATTAGATTCTGACTTATGTTTTTCCAGGTAGACGAGTACATGGAGAACAAGGCTAGTGCCGAAGCATTGTACTCCAAGGCTATGCTTCTCCTTTCTTTTATTACAGGAGAAGCAACGTCTCTGCCACTAAACCCTCCGTTTTCCCTAACTCCTGCCAACAAGAAGCGAATTCAACAATACATTCTGCACTTGGAGTCCCGTCGGATCAATTTTCTCAAATCACAGCCTGCTCCTGTGCAAACCCCCGGCTCCTCGGCTAAGTAAATACGACTGCCTCTGTACAGCCATTACTGACAAACTGGCTTTTTCTGTGCATATTACTGGTATGCGGGTAAATCGTGGTCAGATCGGCGGGAAGTTTTGAACTCTGGGGATGATAGCAAGAAATGGCTCTATCACATGACTGGATAGGGGACGGTATATAATAGCCTCAGCAGGGAAGGCAAATGTGGAAGGAACCAGATGGCCTTGATTGCATGAGTTTATATGGAAACAAAACAACTGTAAATATGAATGGTGGTAACTTCTCCCTTGTGAAGGGTGGCTATCACAGTAAATGCCAAATTTCACGCTGTTTAGGTTTTACCACTATTTCTTCCTTTTCTTTCCTCTTTACTAAAAATATAAGGATTAACTACATTTTACACCTTTTTAAGTTTGGAGAGACTTCGAAAATAGGGTACGAAGTTTCTAACTTTTTCATATTACATCATAAGGTATTGAAATTGCATTGATATTTATATCAATGCATGCTTTTGGTCTAATGTATTATTTGATCTTTATTAAATTGATGACAAGGTGAGGGTTGAATTCTTAATTGGGCTGACATGTAAGTTACATTTGTACATTAACAAAAAAAACTCGTCAATCTAAAGAAAGATTGGACGTTCAAACAGGTAAAATGCATAAATTAATACAATTTTAAAACCTTGTGCAATGTAAGAAAATTGGAATTGCATAACCCATTGTGAAAACCACGTCAACATGTATTAATCTTAAAAATAACAATCGTATAAAATATATTGTACTTTTACTTACAAGGGGATTGAACTTAACATGTAAACCCATAACCCATTTTATATAAACAGGCTCTATAAAATAAGCTGAAGAAACACACAAGGGGCAAAGCGATCTAAAGTTAGGGTTAGGGGATTAGCATAGAGACTTGAAAGGGTTATAGTTACTATTGGCTCCATAGTCCATCGAACAAAAGGAAAATGTTTATGCTATGAAAACATGTATATGTGTAAAAGCTTCCCATCACATCACATTGTCTCCTGTAAAACTCGCAAGAACACAAGGGTTTCTGGGCAATTCTGCAGGCTGTATTTAATAGCCACGATGAGTAAAAATCGTCAAAACAAGCATCTATAGACTCTCCGGGCCTTTCTCTTCCCAGCGGCTGCTGGCATTGGCCACTACGTTCTCGTTGGCCTCTACAAAGCACCTCGTGTAAGGCTTGAATCCCGTTTGACGAGCCTTGAGTTTCCCTTGGCCAAGTCCTAGTCTCAGCAGCCCCTATGTGTTGCTGTCTCGTGCTGGTGATACATTTTTCTCCATTTCTGGAGGACATCCATGTCTTTCTATTCAGGTCAAACTGTGATGTTGATGCATCTCTCATCTTTCTCATCAGCATTTTTATTTGCTTATTCTGTAGCATGCTGATGCCCATTAACCTTGAGGCGTATGAAGGTGGTGAAAAACTCAGTAACAATACCTCTCGCGAATAGCGGTTGAAAGGCCATCCACCCTCAACAAAGGTAGTTAACATGATAAGAGACTAATTGATTCAAAAGACAAATTGATCAAAATCAATCGATGCGCATATATGTTCAACTACCTCTTCAGAAACCTCTTTCCACGGATCATTGATGTTGCCGATACTTCTACTACGACGATAACTAGAATAAGAAGCTAGGAGATTTAGATCAGGTTCTTTTGGTTCTTCTGATCCTTCTATCCCTTTCTTTCTCATGCCTCTCTAATGCATCTGTCTCTATTTCGCTGCTTGAAGGTATGTTAGTACCACACGAAGAACAATCAATGTGACATTTATTTATTATTTAATAAGAAAGACATGTTTTATTGAAGGGTAATGCTAGGGAAACTAAATTTGTAGACAAAATCTTTCAAACTAAATGACATGGAACACTATTATTCAATATTATAGGAAGAATGGCTTGAGCTTTCATTGTGCAGATAAATATACTCGGTCATTCTTGTGAGAAAAAACAACTTATGTTGATTGAAGTGTATGATTCTATGAATGAAGTTGCTAATCATGGCAAAGACAATTCTGAACTTGAAGTTACAGTTTGTGCAGTTTATGGGACTCCTGTACCTCTATCAATTCGAACCATGAAAATTTATGGTTTAACCAAGAATGGTTTAGTAGTGTTCATTATTGATTATAGTAGTTCCCACAATTTTGTGGATGTTTCTTTGGTTAAGAGGTTGAAGGGTCAGTTGGACACTACTCACACCTTTAACATAAAGATTGTTGATGGGGAAAGTTAGAAAGCAAAGGGTGTTTCTCTCAAGTTCCTATCAAGATTCATAACTACCAATGCATTACTGATTTCTATGATATTCCCTTGGGAGGATGTGATTGTATTGGGTGTACAATGGTTGAGAACTCTTGGTCACATTGCATTTCCAGTCCTCAGTCTAAAGAGTCTCAGGCAGTCACTCATCTTTAGATGGATAAACTTCAACAAAAATGAGGACTGCAGGGGCAATTTTATTCATGATCTAGGAGGATAGCTATTTAGTTTCACAAGATTCTTCCTTATCTTTATCCCAATATATTGAATCGAAAGAACTGTTGAAATTTTTTTGGCGATCTTTCAGACCCTTACTACATTGCCTCTATGAAGATCACATGACCACAAAACTTCCTTATTACTAGGACGCAAGCCGCCTAGTGCTAGGCCTTATAAATATGACCGTTTCAGAAGTCAGAAAATCAAAGTGTAAAGGAACTCTTGGCTTCTGGTTTTAAGGGCTAGCAACAATCCCTTCTCTTCTCTAGTCCTCCAGGTAAAGGAAAAAGAAGGCTTCAGAGATTATGCATCGACTACAGAGCACTGAATTAGCTGACAATTAAAGATAAATATCCAATACATGTCATTGATGAATTGTTGGATGATTTATATTGTGCTCAATTTTTTTTTTTTTTTTCCTAATTTGGATTTTAGGGTTGGTTATCACCAAATTAGTATACATGAAGATGATATTGAAAAAATAGTCTTTAGAACCCATGATGGCCATTATGAATTTTAGTTATACCATTTTTATAGATATTACAACAACATCAATTGTTCATGAAGCAATTTAAATGTGTTGTCGATAAAACAAAAATAAAGTATTCGATCCATATAGTTTCTAGAGGAGTTGCTGTAGATCTACCTAAACTTCAAGTCATTGCAGATTGGCCTCTGCTTACTAATTTCAAAGCTCTCAGAAGATTTATGGGATTGATAGAAAATTTTTCCACTACTTTGGCAAGATTTAGCCCTTTAACTGTTCTCACTAAGAAAGACTACTTCGAATAGACTGAGGATGCTACAACTGCCTTATCCTTGCCTAAAAAGGCCATGCCGTCACCTAAGGTTCTCGCCTTATTTGATTTCTCCAAACCTTTTACCATCAAAACTGATGCTTCAGGGATCGGTATTGGTGCAGTTGTTCAACAAGATGGGAGACCGATTCCATTCATGAGTAAAGCTTTGGGGCCTAGAGACCATTTTATTGAAGTAGATGTTTTATGTGCTGTGAAGAAAGAGACCATTTTATTGAAGTAGATGTTTTATGTGCTGTGAAGATGTTTTATGTGCTGTGAAGAAAGAGACCATTTTATTGAAGTAGATGTTTTATGTGCTGTGAAGAAATGGCAATCATATTTGGCTAGAAACCATTTTATCATCAAGATAGATTATCATAGTTTGAAGTATTTCTTCCAAAATAGAGCTCATATGCTTTTCAACAAAAGTGGGTGTCTAAGTTGCTAGGTTTTGATCATGAGATTGTTTACAGAGAGGTTAGAAATCAAATGGCAGATGCTTTTTGAAGAATCCCTTCTTCTACTACCCCGCCTACTTCCCTGGATTCTCAAGAACATTAGTTAATGGAAGGTGCAATTTGTACTATCTCTTATCCTTACTTTTCTTGGTTGGATGAATTGCACAGACACATTGAAGATGATGAATGGATTGTTGAGGAAACTAAATATGTGTTATTAGAATCAGAGTCTGCTCACTCCCGCTCATTAACAAACGTTGTTCCCGCTCTCTATCTCTCTGCCTAAACTCTGAGCCTGCAAAATTTTCAAGTTCACCTTTGCCGAGCTCTCCAATTCCCCTTAATCAACTCAGCTTCTTCTCAAGATTTCAACCTCAATAACTGAAACCGCTTTCACATTACCATCAAAATCTAGAGCAAAATAAAAAATATGGCCCGAACCAATATCCCAGTACTTAATATCCCTCTCATGCTACTTCATCCAACTGTCTGATTTACTCAACAAAACCAAATCCCCATGAAGTTTCAGAGTAGATTCTTCCACATTACTCATTTCAACTACATTATCATAAACAACCACATTACCATATTCGCTCTCTTTCACATTATCATCAGAAAGCAAATTACCAAATTGACCATGAGAATCAACAATATTTCAAGTGGAAAACTAAAAGAAACTCAGAACTTGGGTTTAAAGGAGCGGAATTCTGGTTCACCTTTTGGTCATCAGTGAGCTTCTTCCTAAGCTAGTTTGTGCAACTAGTGGGCCCACCAAATTGTTCAAAAGCTCAAAACTTTCTGCTGTTGCAGGAGAGTAAATGGATGGAAAATGATGGGTTTTTGCGAAAATTGGGGTTAGGAATGTTGTTCCATGAGGTTTTCTAATTTGTGGGAAAGGTGAAGTGAGAGAGAGAACCTCCATGGATGAAGATTTTGGATCCTTTTTTCAGTATTTCGTTCGTTGGTGGATGGTTGTTGATATATACTATACACATGTCGTTTACAAAGAACGACATGTGACAATATGTCGTATGAACTAGAAACTTCAAAAGCTATATAGCGTTTTTTGGGTAAACAATATGATGTTGCTTTACATTTTATGCGCTCTAGTCTACACATTAATATGCCATAATTGGAGAGTAGAACTAATTATACGTCGGCGGAATATTATTGTAGCGATATTTTAAGTTGATCACTTATTATTATGTATTTATATGATTGGTTTGAAATATTGCTATAATGACATTCTGTTGCATGTAAATTTTTTTGTAAAATTTATGCATGTAGCTCTCACAATGCAAAAACGTTAAATTTTCTTATTCGCATGGCCATCACAAAACAGTTTAATCATTTTTAAAATTGTCTTACCATTTAGAATCTTAAGAATACAAAGTAAATATTTTCCTTGTATGGTAATTGCATAACAATTCAACCATATATGGACCAACACCAAAAAACATATAAAAAAAATACTAATTTCTGTCATGATCACCATGGCCTCAACTCCTTCATTTTACTAATTTTTGTCATCATCACCATTCCTCCATCGGCCATTTCTTCTACGAATGTCATCTCCAACTAAAAGGGCCATGTTTAGCCCTCGTTCAGATATAGTCCTAGAATAAATTATTTTTTAATGGACATTGTCAGGCCATATTTATATACTATCTCCAATCGAGCAGTCCAAAGGGTCATAGGCCAAAACATAGCGATTTTGACAAAAAAATCATCTCCAACCAAAGAG